AATTTTCTAAATTGGCATCCTTTGATGAACATTTGAGACATTGTAAATAATGTCTAAATGTTAATTTTCTTACTATAATTTGAAGACATTTACTGATTGGCTTTTATGTGCACAGTATTGTGCACAGTAGGTACCTTTGGTGTTGTATAGATAAATAAGAAATTTCAGGTGACAGGAAAGATGAATAACATTAGGGGAGACAAACTTCTATAAAATGACAAATATCAAATAAGAGCAATCATTATGTAAGAACCCAAGTGCTCCTAGAATTTGCTGAACCATTTGACATTCGTGCATACATTCTGCTTAGCTAAATGTCTGACACCAAGTAGGCACTCAAATAATGCATATTGGAGAGAGAGAGGAGAGCATTTGGTTGAGAAATTGGGCAAGACTTCGTGGAAGTGGTTGTTCTTGGGATGAACTTGGATTTGGACGTGTTGAATTTATAAACTGACACATGAAAAATGCATGGCAGGAAATTTTGTGTTTGACCCATAGCAGACTGATGTGTGCTTTCTTGTAAAAGGAAGCACGATTCATTTGTTGATATTAGTAATAAAAACTGTGCCCAAATCCAAAAAGAATTTTATTCTTGGGTTCGCACTAACATTTTTCCTGGAATGTAAATTTAAGTAAAGTTTTAATGAGCCACTTTCTAAAATTGAGGACTGCTTTTCTATCAGAAATGTGTTCATGAGGAATATTATGTTACATGCTGAATGTTTTTGGTCTGCAACTTAAATATTTTCTTAAGTTTTCCTTTTTATTTTGGTATCTCAGAAAACCCTCGAAATGATTTCAAAACCACATAACCCCATTTTTTCCCCCTAAGTGTAATTGAGGACCCTTTATTGTTGTTTCTATATTCAGGGTTATCTCAAAATGTCTCCAAATTCATCACCTCTGGCTGACAATATGAGCAGTTTTTAATGTTTCTGATGACTAGATCTCATATGAACTCTGACACAATTTGAATCAAGTGCAACAGTAAAAAGAACTGCTATACAATCCATTTTTAAACAGCTTTCTACCCCCGCCCCCCAACACCCACACACACTTTATGTGAGTATATTTCAGACTAGACCATTAATAGGAGAGTAAAAGAATATACTGATGTTCAGAATGCTGTTGAGACTCTGACTTTTGTCTGTATTGAAAGGGCTTATTTTGACTAACTGTCATGCATGTGAGAAGGAAATGGTCAAGAAAAAATGCTTTTCCCCCTCCACCCCCATCTCTAAGATGTGGTTGTCATATTGAGTAAAAGCCAAGCAGAGAGGACTCGACCAAAGGGTTCAGAAAAGTAAATTGTGAAGCGTTATGTGAACAATGAGTTGGTCTGTTTGGCACTAAAATATGGTGTTTAGACTACCAACAAACAAAGGTTCTAGGGTGTAGGCATCCTGTTAGCATGTAGCTTAGGTAAGTCATTTATATGTTTACTCTGTGACATAGGTGATGTTACCATTTAGTGCTGATAGAGGTCCCTACCATCACTACTGGACAGCTAGAATTTGTCCAGCACTTTCTGTGTTTAGGTTTTGTAACAGGTACTTTGTATATTTTATCATCTTTTCTTTTGTGGTTCAGATGTACTTGTAAAACCAAGGGCAAGAGTTACCTTGTGATAAGCTAAAGAAAATAATTCTATTTAATGAAGATCTAAACATGAGTTGGAATTTCAGTTTTCTTAGCTACAAGAGCACCATTTCTTTTTTTTAATTTTTATTGTGAATTGAGTGATAATATACATGGGAGAACATCAGTTTTACACTCATTGTTTCATTGCAATGATTACAGTTTCGTCTTTGCATCATCGTTCAACAATATTTGCTTTTATTCCCTCTGGTTTTTTTCTTTTGAGGGGGGTTGTACACAGAAACACTCAGGAAAAAATAATCATTTAAACAGCCAAAGGGCTCATTCTGCAAGCCTGCCTCCTGGGTGCCAGCATGCAGCCTTTCTCTTTCCATGAGTCAAGAGTCCTCAGCTGCTCTATGTCCATGTCCTCATCTCTGCCTCTATCTCTGGTGTCACTCCTTCTCTGGATAGGGTCCCACATTTCACTTGTGCTCTTCGCCCTTGATGATCCTAAGATCTTCTGTTCCTGGACTATAAGATTACTTGTTGCTGTTAAGTGCCGTTGAGTCGATTACAACCTATAGTGACCCTGTATAGTGTTTCTAAGGAGCAGCTGGTGAGTTTGAACCACTCCAGTGCATTAACTCACAGCACCACACTCCCCCCTTTTTATTACAAAAATTGTACCTTTACAATTGTGACAGTCGCAGTTAGTCATGATAACATTTACTCACTATTGAATCATAAGAATCTTATCCCCATCTCTTTTCACCAGACCCGTCTAGACAAGATGAAAACTATTAAGTGGGGATTCTACCTTCCACACACAGTCTGAAACTAAACTCTGTCTTAAAAACTTGTAAGCCTGTCACTCCATGCCTTCATAAACCGTGTCCCCCCACCCCCATTTTATATAACCAGTGTCTAAGTTTCTTGTCCATATTAACACTGTATACAGAGGGGATAGGATGATACTTGATGTGAAGACTCCTTCCCTCTCATTTGGTATTTTGAGCTACTACATCCATAAATATAGGTCAAGTTCATCAAATTATCGCAATTTACACTTGTTTCCTTTATCAGAAACATTTTTTTTTCTTTAAATCATCCTCTAGTCAAGTTCTGATCATCAAGCCATTGAATGGGTACTATCTGCAAGTTTGGGCATTTTTGTGTGTCTCCTCTCAACTTCATATCAGCTGGACGCTTCATTCTCAGCTGTATCCCTCTGAGGAACACCATTTCTTAATTATAATAGGTTATGTAAATATATTCCCAATTGTTTGAATATGGGCTTTTACTAATGAAATTAAAAACAAAAAGCAAACAAGGCCACATGTAAGCTTATGTAAATTTTTCTATTCTTCTTTCCCTAATTAGTCCTTTAATGCTGTGTAGTGTGTCCTGGTGTGACACTGTATCATAAGCATTGGGCCACAAGATTGGTTTGAACTGCAAGGTTGGTGGTTCAAACTCACCAGCCACTCACTGTAAACCCTATATAGGGTCACTATGAGCCAGAATGAACTTGAGGTACTTCACAACAACAAGCAGTCCTAGTTTCACAGTGGGTTAAGTGTTGGGCTGCTAACTGAAGGTTCCACCCCACCAGTCACACCATGGAAGAAAGATGAAGTAGTCTGCTTTTGTAAAGATTTATAGTCTTGGAAGCCCTGCCCTATAAGGTTGTTATGAGTCAGAATCGACTTGCTGGAAGTGGGTTTGGTTATTGCATCCTTAGGGACAGAAGTGTTTCAGTTGTAGAATTCTGACCTTCCATGTGAAGACTTCGTTTCACTACCTGGCCAATGCACCTATGTCAGGGGAAGCTTGTGTGTTGTTATGATGCTGAGTGTGTTTCAGTGGAGCTTCCAGACTAAGATGGACTGGGAAGAAATCCGTGTGATCGGCTTCTGAAAATCAGCCATTGAAAACTCTGGCTCAAAAGGGTCTGATCCCTTTGTGCACAGGGTTCCCTTGCTGGGGTGACTCAGTTAACAATATTAGCAACATTATATTCTTGCTACGTCACTGGTGATGGTGATGGTGGTATGCCGTGGAGTTGGTTCTGACTTGCAGCGACCCTGTACAGGGTTTCTGAGGCTATAAATATTTATGGGAGCAGAAAGCCTCACCTTTCTCCTGTGGAGCAGCTAATAGTTTTGAACTGCTGACCTTGAGGTTAGCAGCCCAATTCGTAACCACTGCGCTACTAGAGGTAGTGGAGAGAATTTGATGGAAGGGTGTGATTCTAAAAGCTTGAGTCATCTGTACTTTAGACTGCTGGGATCAGGTTCATCTTTCATGGATCTGAGAGGCACCATTGACCATGTGGCATTTTTTACATGGGCTGGCTACATGGAATCAGTGTGTCTAATTTAAGACCTCTCACTGGTGGTATTGCTTTGTACCTTTAATGTAAATTTCAATAATAGTTTCAATAGTATAATTTAAAACTCCTTCTGAAAACATTACAGGGCCATCTGTTTCATGTTACTATACATTAAGCAGCGCCAGCCTTGTCATGCCCAGTAGCAGAAAAGAAGCCTCTGATTGGTGCAAATGGTTAAGCACTTGATCGCTCACTGAAAGGTTGGTCTTTGGAACCCATCCAAGAGGCAAAAAGGTCACAGCTTCTAAAAGCCCAGGGGGCAGTTGGACTCTGCACACATGGTGTCGCCATGAGTCAGAGTCACTTGACAGCAACTAACAACAACAGCTAGTAGAAAACCTTTTATTTATAACCTACAGAGAAAATATGTGTATATATGTTAAGTGCCATCAAGTTGGTTCTGAACCACCAACCTTGGCGGTTCAAATCAACTTTATATAGTACATTAAAAACCTACTGTATATTTCCAAGTCTTTTTATAAGTAAAAGCTTTTCGTTATTAAAAAAAAAAAAAAATTAGATGTTGAAACATTAGGATAATGAACTGTCATAAATTAGCCTCTGAAATGATAGATTAAAATTAGGCAGTTTAACAGATTTTCATGTTGAAATCAGTAGTTTTTCTTTTCTTTTTTTAATGAAGTGATTCAAAAACTTTTCAAGGTCTTTTGCTGGAGGGCTTTCTGACAAATTCTGCAGAGATCATTTTGCATGCTTTTATCAAAAAGTCAGTTCCGAGCATTTAAATGAAGACCCCTGAGTCTGTATTACAAATCTCACTTGGATTTCAAAGATATCGCATGGTTGTTGTTTTTTACTTCTTGGTTCAACAAGACTCTTTAGTACTTTGTACAGATATTTGGGTTAGGAGCATCAACAACCACGAGACTACAGGCTGGTTTTGCATTTAGAAACAGGGTTTCTAAATAAATCAGTCCACATTTGCTAGCTATATTTCTACTTCTGAACCTCCTAGCAGTCTCAGATTTATTGTCAAGATATGACACCGTGAAAAATTCCAGATTTAAGCATCATTTTCACATTTTGACTTTTCTTTTTGAGTACTGCTCTTCTTCTGTGAGGTAAATGTCTCAGTGACCTTTAAGCGGAATGCTTTTGAGAGGTGGTAGTACACGATGGGATCAAAACACAGGTGTGACACTGCCAGGAGCAGTGTGGCTTCCTTGGCTTTGAAGAGTGAATTTCTGGCTGAGCAGTTGGATATGACTTGCGTCTGACTGAGGGTGTATGGGATTCGGACAGTGTGGTAAGGAACAAAACACACAATGTAGCCAGCAGTCACTAAAAGTATGTTGATGAGAGCCCTTTTCACATTTGCATAGCAGCTTTCATTATCTTTGTTTCTGTAGAGTTGTCGAATTACTAGGCAGTTAGATATTAAAATAATGGCTGAGAAATTAAAAAATATTGCTACACATAAGAAATTTGTCAGCAAATGCCAGTTTTCCCCAAACTTTGTTTTGAAATCCATACAGGCCACAGTTGGCTTTTCTGGGATGTTTTTTATAGGAATAAAAATGTTTGGCGCCATTATAAGCAGAACCATTAGCCACACGACTGTTGATATCATTTTGGCAAATCCAGGTTCTTGTATTCGATAAATCTTGCAGCTGCGGATTAATTGCAGATAGCGATCAATGCTGACAAATGCTAAGAATATAATTGATAAGTACATATTAATGTAGATGAGGCAGGCTGTTACTTGGCAGTGAAATATCTTCATCTTCCAGGGTGCCACTCCTAAGTCAACAAAAATTTTCACTGGCAGTGCCAGAGTGAGCAGGAAATCAACTGTAAGCAAATTAAGTAAGTATATGCTTATGCACCTGTGATCCGTGTTTCTCTGTTTGAATGCCCAGGCTGCAAAACAACTTCCAATAATTCCAACAAGGAAAACCAAATAATAAAAATATGTAAATGGTTCCAGATTTCTATAAACTGTGCAGGAGAAGGAGCTGTTTGTCATCTTGAGGGCGATTAACGATGACTCTGTCAATAAAAAAAATACAGAGATTCTGTTTAAGAGAAAGGGAAGAGTGGGGTGGGGAGGTTAGTAATTAAAATTGGAAGCTATTTAAAATACATTCACAAGACTGTGGTCTATGTCTGAGTTCTTCTAGCGCTTATATTGAGTTTTGTTGGTAAATTTACTAGACAGTGAGAACATACTAGAATATGAGGATGCTTGGGTTTTCCAGTGTCTGATTTTTGTGACTTTCAGAAAATCCCATATAGTCTTACTTCTAAAACGGGTGTTTTTAACAGCACAACATTTAAAAATTTCCTATTGGTTTGGAAGGTTTGCATTAAAAAAAAAAAGAAACGCAGTTCTGAGAAATGGAAAGCAAACTAGGTTGAAATGATTCAGTTGTGGCTGAGCCTCTCTGAAGACCTTTAAATGAGGCTTTCTGACTTTCTTTGCTGTAGAGTCATAGAGCTCCTTATACTGGAGGATCTAGGTTGAGAGGGAAGCAGAGGGGTAACAGGAAATTATACTTTAAAAAATAAATACAATAAATAGACCTTGTATTTATTAGAATAATAGAATCTATTAGAACATTTTTACAACAATTTCAGTTTTCTTTTTAGCAAAAAGAATGAAAAGGTTGGGATATAGTCCTTGCATTGATGCTAATTATTTCCCATTTTATTCTCTTCCTCCAGTTTCATAGTGGTAGAGCCCTGCCATGGCCACTAAGTCATCTATTGCCACATGTAGTTTCTGAGCCCTTGTAATGCGTCTCTTGTCTAAATTGAGATATTGTATAAAATGCAAAGTATACATTGGATTTTGAAACTTTAGTATTAAAAAAATGTTTTTAAAGTGTAAAACATAGCTGTGAAAATCAACAAAAATTAATAGAACATTTTGTGAATATTTCTTATATAGAAGTAAATGTTGAAATGATATTTTAGGTCACATATGTTGTTAATAATGGAGTTTACCTTTTTCTTCCTACTTTTTAGTTACAGCTCCTAGACCATTTCAGTGAGCTTTGTGGCTCCCATTATAGAATTTTTGAACAGTATTAATATAGATATTTTCATGTTAGTGTTTTTAAGTAGTTTGACCTAAGGTGTTCTTTAAAGGCTTCAGCAACATTTATAACATATGTTCATCAGTTGCAAAATCTTCATATAGAAGCTCAGATATGTTAATACCAAAGCATCTAGCTTTAGCACTTTAAGTGTTTTTTGTTTTTTTTTTCTTCATTGTGGGTTTGGGGACAGTTAAAAGCCCACAAGTATAAGAACTACTCTTAAGATTCATTGTGCTCAGCATTGATAATAACAGGCTTCTCATGCTAGCTCCACATATTGAACAATCAGTAGTCTCATGAGCTCAAGTTGGACTAAGTGAGCTCCCTTGGTCCAGTTAAACTAAAGCTCATAAGGCCACCGGCTTTTGTTTCTGGTGCTGCTTCGTGGTGTGCACTCTTCGTCTGCATATTCAATGACATTCTTTTGTCACAAAGACAATGTTAGCAGGGGGAAAAATTAATCTACAGGTTGTTGTTTGTTTTTTTA